TTTTTTTTTTTTTTTTTTTTTTTTAAGAAAAAAAAAAGACAAAACTGAAAATAAAACAGGAAAGTTCAATAAATCAAAATCCCTTGAAAATTCAACGGAAACCCTATATATACCCTCCGATCCTCATGTTCAAAACCCTTCTTCCAAACACAAAGAAGAATCGGGTAAGAAAAGAAAAAATAAAAAAAATCTCTGTTTCTCTACAGCGAGAATTTTGGAAAATGACCAACCGGATCAGACTTAGGGCTCAACCAGTGAAGCTCAGTTGACGCAATCAGTGATTTTGCAATTTTCCCCCAAAGCGTTAAAAATTCTTTTTTTTTTCTTTCCGATTTTTCAATCTCTCTTTTTCTCTCTCTATCTCTATCTCAACGACGGTAACGGAGTTTATGGCTTTATGCGGAAGAACGTGGTTCGAAATCCCTCCAAGCCATGTTTTCACAGTTCCATTCATTTTACTTTTCTATTGCAAATTGCCCCCCAGACCTCTCGTATTTACAGGAATGGCCCTTGTTTCCATGGCCCATTTTGAGGTTATTATTTAATTCTTTATTAACTCTAAATTATAAAAAATATTATTTCTATTTCTATTAATTTTTAAGCTCTCGTTAATATTTTATTTAAAAAATTAAAAAATATTTCGTTGTTTCAAAAGTATAATTCAATTTTCAAAAGTTCCATTAATATATTTTAAATTTTTTTTATTTAAAAATATTTTTATAGGATGATTCCGTTCGATATCGATATTTATAGAGTGTTATTGAATAAATAAAAACACTATTATACGTATATTTACTACTTAAAAATTCATTTATAAGAATTATTAATTACAAAATTAAAAAATAGAGGGATATTATTTATATATATAAAAAAAGAAGCAAATATTAGTAAATAAATTCCAATTTAATAAATAGAATAAAACTATAAAAATAATTAAGAACAAAATCTTAAAAGGAAACTAAATAAAATATATATTTAAAAAAACCCCTTCCGTGGATTGTGCCTCGAATCAAACTCACCTGCTATAGCTGTTACGCTATCAGTTTTGTAAATCTATTGTCACCGGTAACCACCGGTTTCCATCATTGCTTGGCGGGGATTATTACTTTACCCCCACATGTTCATGTCCCAGTCCTAATCCCTTCTCCATTTCCCGAGCCAAGTTTCATCCTTATCGTTACGTCGACGCAGTCTCCGGTCGCCGCTGTCTTTCATCTTCTATCGCTCGGTTCGTCTCTTCTTCTACTGTTCTCTGCAACTCTTGATTGATTCTTTTTTGTTTTCTCGTTCGGTCGAGAAGTCGTGTCGGTAATTCTTAATATATATTTTTTAATATGTTCGGTCTAGTGGTTTTGATTGGAGTTGTTGCCTATTGGTAGGGTGTTAGATCCGTTTGTTGTTTGATCTTGCATACTTGAATGGATGAATATACGACCTAGATTTATGATTGTGTGTATGTATGTTCTAGATTGGTAATTTATATCTTTGTAGGCCTAATTTCTCTTGATTAGATTGAATTGTGGAATCGCGTTGTAAATTAGAGTGTTAAGCGGGATGTGTCGATCACTTGTCGGATTGACGCAGCACGAGGGAGTTGTCTTCTAAATTTACGACTAATTCCTTAGTTCTAAATACCTCTAATTGTCGTACCGTTGAAATTGCGTCTGGAGTTGCGTTTTTTTCTTCCCTCTTCTTTTTAATTGAGCTGGTAAGATATGTTTTCCTTTGCCAGATTCTGTGAGGTTGGAATACACGAGAACTCCCTTAGAATGGCAGATAATGATGGAGAAGAGAATAACTCTCGTGGAAATGGATGGGAAGTTGTTTCACTCACTGCGTCGGCATATGAAGCTGCTCCTAATGTGAAGGAAAGCGAATCGACTGATGAAAATAAAAGCAATTTGTACGAAGCAGAAACTTCCCATGCTTTGTTTATGTCTAGGCACTTCGTATTTCCACCGAATCAGCACGAGAATTTGCCATTGGAACCTGATAAGAGTGAGATTCACGATGATCAAGGAGGGAAGGAGAATGTGGACTCTGATTCTACTGCTGTAGATGGCGGAAAATCAAGTAGAAAGAATGAAGATGTCTTGAATATAGAAAGGTTGGGTGAGACAGATGAGTTTTCAGGGATTGACAAAACTACGGAGAAAGGCGGCAAGCTGTCTTTTCATGGTGATGAATTTAGTGAAAATACAACGCTACCAGATTTGAATCTGGTTGACAAGGAGCAGGATCCCTTTGATGCTCCTACCTATAGTTCCTTTCATGGTGAAACCAATCTCAGTTCAATGACAAATGATGAAATCCCTCCATTGGAATCTAACGATCAAGTCTCGAATCCAGAAAGCTTGGAAACTCATACACTTGATAGTAAAAGCAACAAGTCCAATCTTCCTTGTGGCGCTTGGTGGAAGAGAAGAGCTGTTAATTTATACTCTCATGCAAAAGAAGCGAATGCATTTTGGTCCATTTTCGTTGCAGCAGCTGTTATGGGACTTGTAATACTTGGGCAGCGCTGGCAGCAGGAAAGTTGGCGGACTCTGCAACTGAAAGGGCACATTAGTGTGAACGATCAGGTATATTGATTATTGTTATTTCCGTTTGATGGCATTCTGTTTATCGTTCAGCTTCTTCGTTATTATTCTGTATGCATCTATTCTGTTATGTACTTCGAATTTTGAGTTCCAGATTTCAGTCTATAGAATAGATCTAAGAATAGGAAATTCAAGTTCAATCTCAACAAGAGCCATGGTGCTGACAACTAGGTTCTTAAAATAGCATCATGTGCATGTTGAGTGAAAATAGTTCTCTCTCTTATCTTTGTTTACATCTTTCATCCAAATTGGAGATTAAATTCTGAGATTTCCTACATACCCTGCTAGCTTATTATTCCTTTAAAGATGCATCTGTTGCTTTGACTCGATGTCGAACCGCTAGGCTTAAATTTTACGAGCAGAAACAATGCGAATAAGCTTGTTGTAGCCAGAAATTCGGGGACCTTCCAACAATGAAACCAGGTTTGTTGAGTACCAACAGATCCAAAAGCTGATTCCAGTTCTGATTAGGGGAACTCATTATATGGTTGTACGGCCAAATTTTTATCTTACCCACTATGTGTTCTAACTTCAAAGCCTCATCTTTGTAGCCATTGAGGAAATATATGGGGATTTTCATGTTGAAGTTTCTAGTTCTTAGTTTAGGCTGTTAGCGAATTGAAACTGATATGTTCATAGTGGTAGTTATCTGTTGCAAGTCACCATTTTTCAAGTGGCGTTAAAATTTTTGGGTTGGTCTGCTTATTGGCTTTTGGACTTGGCAACTACACACAAACCTTGCCATCAAGTACTCATTTATTAACAACTTGCTTCCATCATTCCCGTGTTCGTAGCAATGCAATGAATTGTCTGACTCAGCTTTTGAGATGGTAGTTTAAAACCTACTTGGTTGCTTGCAATTGCAACTGTTGGTTGTATCATGGCTATAGAAATGCACCCTCATGCCTATTTTAGAAGAGTTGTATGCTTCCTTCCTTTTCCACGTTGCCTTATTGCCTTAATTTCCATGATACTGTTACAATTTCAGAAGACAATCCGAGTGCTAGGACCAATAACTCGACTTAAAGACGTGATCGTGGGTGGCCAACGCCGTGGTTCGTCCATCAAGTTTAGCCCCAGTGAGTTATAAGATGATGATGGCAAGTGTAGAAAAGGAAGAACAGAATGAAAGGAAGAGGTTCGATTGCCCAAGTGTGTACGACCGCTTTCAAAATTTACACAAGTGCTTTGGGGAACATGTTCGAAGTTTGATTGTTTAAATCATATTTCTATCTTGGTGGTATAGTACCATATTGCATTGTACATTAGCTTAATCCATTATTGGGTGAAATGTAAGTTACAAAGCTCATACCTATATCCCTCGCCCTAGGGGTTCATTTTATTTCGACTCTGTCAAGAACGACCCTTCATATCAGATTGAAGCTCACTGCTCAGGATATTGTTCACTTTTTTTTTTTGCATGTAATTGGTAGCTGAATTGAAAGAAACCAGATAAACTGATCTAATCAAACTGGTTTGGCCGGTTTGGCCGGTTTGGGTACAATCATGTCCTCCAATCTGTTCTAGGTTGTACAATCATGTCCTCCAATCTGTTCTAGGTTGTACAATCATGCCCTTATAAGTTTAGTAATCTTTTAGGCACAGACGAATGAAACATCGTGATCCAAGATCTAAAAGAAAGAGGACCCACATCCTCCGTGTTCCATCTTACTATTATCTTTTAAATTTTGGCATCAACATTTTTCTTTATCATAAATTAACAAACAAGTTAGTTTGGTGGTAATTTTGCCCCAAGGTAAAATGTTCTTGAATGATGGTGTACCAGCACTGTAAGTAAAATGAGACAGCTACAGTAACTAACAACCATCGTAAGGTAAAAAGCTAGAAATAACAAGACCAAGAGATGACAAAAAAAAAAAGATTTTTCTTCTGCTCTTGTAGTTTTATGCCGCACACTATCAAGGGGAATAAACTCCATTATATGGGGACAGTTAAAAGTAAAAGCGGGGGTAATTTATATGCGGATTTTTTTTTTTTTTTTCTGAACCATCACTCTTTTTGTTCTTTTTTTCACCCTTTTTGGAGCCAACCCAGAAAGCTGTTGCTGGGAGAGCTGTAGCTATGGCATCGGCAATTTTATGGAAAATGAAAAATTGAAAAGCTGTGTAGGGTGTTCAGACTTGCCTGTTTTTTCCTCCATTTTAAATTTAGCATTCTTCTTCTTCCTCTTCTTCTTATCCCTTCTGCAGAATGGGGCCTTTTAATCAAGAACCTTCTCTCCCGTTGCAAAGATATTCCACACTAATGTGCCTATGATATACAATGCAACTGACACCTTGAATACATCGTCCCATGAACCTGCGCCAACCCAAAATCTCGTGATTCAAAATCGAATTCAATTACCTTAAATAAACTTGAAAGATGGAACAAATACAACCTAGACTAAATCATTTATTTGTAATCTTTTATTTATCTAGGAAACCCTTGCAAAAAAGGAAAAAATAAATAAGTACAAATTTACATCCTCAACTTACAAGTTTGTGTTCATTTGGTTCTGTAAACTTTAAAAAGTGTAATGGGTCGGTAAAACTTATTAGACACAACATTAAGAATTTAAAAGACTTATTAGACATAAAATTATATTTTTATATTTAATAGGTTAATACATTAAATAAATTAATATGTTAAGAGTTTTAAATATAAAATTGAAAATTCAAGGACTTATTAGGCATTTCCATGATTGAGACAGAAACAAACTTGAAAGTTTAGGCATAAAAAAAGAAAAGGAAAATACTATGAAGAATAAAAGTCAACAAACCTCGCTGGAGTATGTATCCTGTTGCAGCAGTGCCGACGACACCGGCTAACACGCCGGCCGTGTTTGATAATCCTAACAACACTCCCTGCGTATGAAAGCAATTTTTATTAAAGAAAAAAAGAACGGCATGATTAGGTAATAGTGAATTAGCAGCAGTTTGATAACTCACAGCATATCGTGGTCCAATGTCTTGGTGATTGGAGTAGAGACCCGATTGTGAAAATGCATCAGATCCCTGTAAAGAAAAGTTAGTGAATCAAACCAATCATTTACAGTCTAAATAATATATTGATATTTAATAATTACTTAAAATAATTATTAATAATTAATTATACTTGTTATTTTTCATCAAATTGGATGAGTTGTAAAGCTCGTTGTATAATAATATGGTGGATTTTAAAAAGTGAAATCTTATGAAACAAATAAGAAATATTAAATATTTATCCCTTTCATGTTTGTCTTCTTGGTCAGCTAATTCTGACAGTTTATCTGGTTGTTCTTTCTTTATTATTTCTAATCAATTACTTAATATGTAAGAAAATGTGAATACCTGACTGCATGCCATGCATAATACTGCCATAGCAGGTGTTCTAACATGACTCAGCTGACTAAGGAAGAACGCTGGTCCCAGAAATCCAATAGATTGCATAATCTGCATCCAAAAACATTCTCCTCCGTAATTATTTAACACAAGAACTGAGTAGAAAGTTCATTAATAAACCTGAGTGAACAAGCTTAGTATTCCTACATTTTATGGAGTAGAAATACAACCTAAGACAAATTTATTTGTCCAAGAAGAAAATATAGTTCATGGATGTATCAATCCAAGGTCAACGCTAACAGATATTGTTTGTTTTGGCCTGTTACGAAATGTTGTCAGCCTCACGGTTTTAAAATGCGTCTTTTAGGGAGAGGTTTTCACACTCTTATAAAAAATGTTTTGTTCCCCTATTTATGTGTGATCTCACAATGCAGCTGCGTAGACAGTGGACAAATTGAAGTGCATCTTGTACTATATTCATCTATTTGAAAAGTTAACAGTGGACAAATTGAAGTGCATCTTGTACTATATTCATTTATTTGAAAAGTTAATTATGGTATCGATATTCAGAGTTAAACTTTGCATCATATTGTACAAACGAATTAACGTCTAGCAGATAACCGAGCAAGCTAAATGTGTAAATCTTTCTGAAGAAATAACTCATAAAACTGAGAACCAGAGCACAATCCCTACCGTCATGTAACTACTTGAAACATAATTAAGCTGGAAAGAATCTTGCCTTTCGAACAGTAGTGATGGAAAAGCCCCTGCTCACTAGCGTGTCTGCCATCCATCCTCCTATATTTGCAAAAACAGCCATGGTCAACCATGGCAGAACACAGAAGAGTCCAGATTCGGTGAGGTTGAACTTCAAAACCTGAGACAGTAACCAAGAGGCAAACCTTCAATTGTACAATAAATTGAAGCCTGGAAGTGCTTAAGCTATGCAGCTTTTGTCATCCAGGATCAAAAATTTTTATATTGAGACCTTGTTCGGGCTTCAGTAGAGCCAATTGATTATAGGCACATGAGGTACATAACTCATGCACCAGAACTATGAAGGAACTCTTTTACGATTTGATTATTCGCTCCTACAGTTATTTTCTGCTATGTCTAGATGCAAGTGTATCATCAGCTAGAGATAAAATGCTGAACCCTGAATTACCTGATTATAGTATGTGGGCATCCACGTCAACAGAATGAAGGTTCCCCAATTATGGCAGAAATGGGATATGATAAGAGCCCACACAGGTGCTTTTGATAAAATTAATTTCCACGGAATAACTTCCACAGGCTCCTTCGAAACGCTTCCATCAAAGATAATCCTTTTTTCCTTTGCACTGAGACCTGGATCTTCTTTTGGAGAGCTATATGCCTGACAATAAACCAGTATGAGAAGGTAGGAGTGCTTTTTTCTTCCTTTTTTGAGATGGGAAATAGAAAATTTTCATTGAGAAGACCACAAAAGATAATGATAAAGGCAAAAGGAGACGTTTGATTCAACAAAATGAAATGAAAAAAGCAAATGCAACTCAAAGTTTCTGTTTTTTGTTATAACCTAATTTTCTTTCATCCTTTCATTATGCCCAATATAACAGGAAGGATTAATGGCCATATATGTAATGATAACTCAGCATATCTCTTTTCTCACTGCCTAGATCTTCCTTCATGATGGCTGCATAAATTCAATTTTCTCTAGTGGAGTGGAGAACTATTCACTTGTAACACGTAATGTTAAATTTATAATATAAATGCAGAAGAAGCAAAAATTACTTTTCTTAGCCACAGTGCAAACCATATACTTCCGAGAGAACCAAATGAGTAGAACACAGACGGCCATCCAAATTTGTTAATTAACATTGGTGAGAAGGCCAATCCCGTTACAGAACCGAGATACATCCCACTGTACACTAGTGCAAGTGATCTGCTTCTCTCTGATACGGGAATCCACTTTGATATAATATTGTTCATTGCAGGCATAGCAACACCCTGCAAAGAAGGCACATAACACGAATAATGAGTTCTATCAGCTGTGAACTCAAAAACAGTCTTAGTTCAGATTAACTCTTTCAGATAATGTGATTCAGCTTGACGCCAAAACTAGCTTGGTTAAAAAAGTTGAACAAGGAATAAAGATGCTCGGTTATACTGATAATGATCATGATATATTAGTTGAACACATGCACAAAAGTAGAGCACAAAAGCCTACCTCACCAATTCCCATGAAAGCACGCATCATAAGCAGGAAAGGAAGCCCAATTCTTGCAGCAATTGGTGTCAATATAGTTGCAATTGACCACCATATTACCCCAAAACCCAACACAAGCTTCCCACCAATTTTGTCTGCCCATATCCCCCCAACAATCTAACCAATCAAATATAAACACGTTATATTTGATATACCTGCTCTATCTCCAAGTCTAAAACACTTTAGTAACAAAAAAGGAGAAATTTTGGGTTGATCAACTCTAATCAAACCTGCGTTAGAAGATAACCCCAGAAAAAAGATGACTGGATCAAGCCAACTGTTGCACTGTTCCAATTATATTCTTTCGACATTGGGAGTATGGCAATACTCATGTTCACCTGCAGAAATTTGTTCAAACATTTAGCTCAACAAAATAAGTCTATTGATATTACTTACGCCAGCCTATTGAGGGCTGGTAGTAGAACCGTGTTATTGACATGTTACAGAGAAATTATAAAATAGCTGCTTTACAAAGATACCATTATTTCAGCAAAAAGATGTATGCATGTGTTTTGATTGATTGCCAGCTATATTTGTTGGTTTTGACCCTTGATCAAAGTACACCGAAACAAATAAGCAAAGCAAAATGAAACACTAGTAAAACACATTTTGTACTAAAATACTTTAAATCACTAAAACCTTTTGACTTCTACAAATTAAAACGCACAACTAATAGTCATTTAAAGAAACAAAAGCATAGCAACTCTTCTCCTAAAAATGCTCCATGATTACTAACTTCTCAGTGCATGACTGCCACATCCCATGATTCCAATGTGATGTTTAATGCTCGGACTTTGAACAATTTGAGCTTATTGA